ACACACACACACACACACACACACACACACACACACACACACACACACACACACACACACACACACACACACACACACACACACACACATGAAATGGACACACTCGCAGGAAATTCTTACCTCGGTGGACAAATTGTGACCACACATGCCACAAAAACACACACGTACACAAGCCATTACAAACCTGCCACAGTCACAGCTGCCAGTACACTGATGAAGGCCCACCTGTCGTGTTACCTTCACACACACACACACACACACACACACACACACACACACACACACACACACACACACACACACACACACACACACACACACACGCACGGACAGCCTGAGAGCTAGGTGGTCTCTGAGCATCACTCCAGTGTCCATATGCAAACCTCCCTGAACAATTAATGGGAAGATGTGTGCCCCTTGGCCTCATGGGTAATTTGTACAACTCAACTGGTTTAGCACAGCAGGCTGGTGTCGTTTTGGCGCCACATGTGTTGCCGTGCGGCGGACTCCACAACTAACAGCGAGAAAAAAAGTAAGAAATACGGGATTGTGGAGGTGAGGGATTAAAAAAAAAAAAAAAACGAAGCAAGACAGAATTAACTTCCTGCCAAAAAAACCAGAGCAGGGCGGATGTAAGGACGTAGCAGATGAAGATGGAGGCTCAGGGGCAAGGCCAGTTAGGCCACTAATGAGTGCTGCATCGGAGGCAGTTTGGTGAGGGTGGTGGTGTTGGCGGTGGCGGCGGCGCTCGGCCCATCTTTAACTAGACTGGTGTATTGATTAAACCCCGTCGCCAAGATCCTCACCTGCACCATGCCAACGCAGCCCAGAGGGTAACGTGGAAGATGTGTGTGTGTGCCGTAAGGAAGGGGGCTGCTAGATGAGGCGCCAGCTGCCGGGCGCCTCCACCCGCCCTCCTGCGAGTGCCAACCACCCCCTCCTCTGCAGCCCGTCTCTACACACACACACACAAACACACACACTACACACACTCCCCTCCGCTATCTATCATCTCAATATGGTGCGGGCAGCCAGTTTGTGTTGTGCTAATTTCCTCCAATAAATCAGTAATTATTGCTGTGCCGTCCCTGCTGTCCCCCCCCACTCCACCCCCACCCCACCCCTCTCCTGTTCTCCCGCCTTTTTCCTGCAGCTGTTTTTCCATTTGTCCAGAGAGCGAGTGTTCTCGGAGGAGCGCACGCGCTTCTACGGAGCCGAGATCGTCTCCGCTCTCGATTACCTGCATTCAGCCAAGATCGTGTACCGGGACCTGAAGGTAAACAGAACCGGGGACAGAAGGCAGGCTGGAGGGTGCACCAGCTTTTTTATTTTTATTTATTTATTTATTTTTTGCTTTTATTTATTTAGCCGTCCTGTCAGAGACAAGTCTCTGGAAAAATTGGTGTAATTAAAAAGTGGTGCAGGAAGGAGCTCAACCCGACACAGAGCTGTAAAGGATTGCGGGGGTGGGGGGGTGCTGATGCCACAGAGGCAGAAAGGTAGATGGCTCTGTCTGACTGCCTGCCTGGCAGCCTTGGCCTCAGCCCCGCAAACAGCAGCCAAGAAAACAGGAGAAAAAACAGACACACACAGTGAGCAAAACACTTCAACCATTAAAATTAAAAGGTTGAGTGGCTCCACAACATGCCTGAAGTTTATTTCCCTCGTTTGCTCAGAGTTGTGTGTCTGAGTGTGCGCACGAGCAAACATCTCCACACTAACCCGTCCACCTCTGCTGTCTGAGAGAAACCTTGGCTCCACCGTCCACAGAATGATTCTGATCAGTTCACAAAGCATTCGCTGAACGCGTCGTGATGATTCTCAGTCACTGAGTCACGTCTTTTGTCTTCCTTCCAGTTGGAAAACCTGATGCTGGATAAAGACGGACACATAAAGATCACTGACTTTGGACTCTGCAAAGAGGGCATCACTGACGCTGCTACTATGAAGACGTTCTGTGGGACACCAGAGTACCTCGCGCCTGAGGTGATGCTTTTTTTATTTCTAACAATAAAAACATCTTTGGCCTTTTCAAAGTTCTGTTATCTTTATGTATGTTTTACATCCCTTTTCTCTCTTTTATTTCCTTACTTTATTCAGTATTCCCCATCAAGAAATATRAAGTTATTAATCAGTTAATTGCTTTAATAGTGATCCCTTAAGTGTCCGGTGTGACCTCGACAAAACCCGATTCACTTTTCTAAAGCACGTTGTCGAGCGGATGAACGACCTAAATATCAGTTCCTGTTCTGTAAACTGAGCAGATTGACTGAGGTGTTGTACAACACAAAAGCATCTGTGGCAATCCGCGGGCGGTTTATCCATTAGGCAGTGTTTCCGCACCGCTCGGGGCCCCACCGGGACGGCCCCTGTAAACTGTGGGAAACGGTGACGCCCGCTGCACAGCGTCCTGCTAATCTAACAGCAGCCCTGGCTGATCAGTTTAACCACCGGGATTATAACTGATCTTTGATAAATGGCCGTAGGCTGGGTGCAAACACACGCCACACAAAGTCAGGACACATTAATCGGGGAACTAACTGTGCCTCTCGCAGACCCTCGTCACATTAGTGTGTTTTAATTAGGATGTTTGAATAGGGGGATTTATGCGTGCAAATTTTTATTTCCAGATTTCACAGGCAAGTAATTTCCATAATATCAGGGTGAAGAGTAAATATGCAGCTTATGAGTGTGAATGAGAGTGTTGGTTGAATTGGAAAAGGGCACGACACAGTGTTCACACTCACACACACACACACACACATTCCTGTAATCTTTATCTTTTTGCTGTCCAGTCGTCAGCGCTGCCTCACCAGGAGGCCAGCTGTAGGTGTTGGAGATGTGGATCAGGAGGAGAAAAGCAGAGTTTATATATAAATCCCACTCAAAAAAAAAAGTATGGAAGACAATTTGGCGCAACATTTTGTGCCTTTTTTTTTTTTTTAGTCTCTTCCTTTTTGCGTGCCAAAAGCTGATTGGAGACTTTTGGTTATTTTTCACAGGATGTGCGTCTGYATGCGTTTATTTGTGTGCGCTGTGTGTGTTATCGCTGCAGAAAGTGCGGGCTAAAGCGAGGCAGATGGCGGCAGATGGGCGAGGTTGGAGGAAGGTGCTCGGAAAAAGGGAAAAAAAAAAACCCTGGAAATCTACACCACCGCCACTCGCCCGCCCGCACGCACGCTCTGCTCGCCAGCGTGTAAAAATAACACAGTTTGCTCTGAGCCAAGTTACAGAGATGCAAAGTAGATGGGATTAAAAAAATGAAGAAAAAAAAGGGGGACGGGGGGCTAGAAGACAGAGGAAGATGAGAAAGGAGAGAAAATATTTCAGGGTTACAGGAGTGAAATTCAGATAGTTCCTGTGTTTGCCATCAGGAAAGAAGGTAGATGAGAAACGAGGAGAGAGCGCTCACACTCTGAAGCATCACAAGCAAAGTAAATCATATAAAGTGTTAAACTGAGGTGTTGTTTTCTTTTTTTTTCAAGGATGGTCATAAAAATAGTGTGAGATTATTGAACAATAAGCAAAAGGGGATGGAACAGGATCATAGAAAACACATGGGGAGTGTTTTCTCTGCTTTTTGTTCCATATTTTTCGTATTTGACACGTATCTTTGTGGCGAGCGAGTGTTAAAAGGGGGTGGATTTTGGTCCTTTTCCATTTATTTGTGTGTTTTTTATTTCATTTTGTGTGCTGTATACGCTGGGCATTGACCTTTTCACTGTAAATGTTTTACAAACATAGCAGCACAGTCAGCTGTTAGTGGAACATTTCAAAATGTTAGCAGATTGTCAGGATAAACCCGTTTCCAAATTATGACACCGTGGAGAAACGAGGTCTGTGTCTGACATCAGCAATATGGGATTGTATGGCCACAGTATATGAGGTGTGTGTGTGTGTGTGTGTGTGTGATTGTGTTTCCTGCTGGCTAGCTGGGCTGGTACAGCCACAGGCGATGTGTGCTTGTCCCATCCCACGTCGTCCTGCCCCGGCTGCCAAAGCCCCGTGTAGCTAGCTGCCACATGGCTGCCCAAACCGGGACCAGGACRGGTCAAGACCCATCTTCATCGCTGCTGCTTTCAATCTCCTTCCCCACTCCTCTCCTGCCGGTGATCTAAATTGTCTCTTGCTCTGTCTCGTCCTATTTATTCGTCAGCACGTTTTTAAAATTTTTTGTTAAATTCTACACACAAACGGAGCACACAGGCACACTCCGGTGCCTCCATGCCTCCATGCCTTGAGGCTGTGGGGCAGCATTCTGGCTCTGTGTGGATTAATCTGCTCCCTGCCTGCAACCGAGCTGCCACCACCTTCTTTGGTCTTGGGTCAAACAAAAACACACACCCTCCTGTAAACACACACACACACACACACATCACATGTGCCACAAATCAAAATGCTCCACTGTTGTGAATAAGAACTCGAGTTTGCCCTTGTTTTTGAGCGTGTNTCCAGTGCACTCACATCAGAATAACTTATAGATTTGTTGTTAGAATAATCGATTAATCGAAAAAAAATCGTTAGATTAATCGATTAGAAAATAATAGTTTGGTACAGCACTAAAACGTACCAGAACACGCAAAACATTTATGGGTGGACTGTGGGGGCTATTTGGCTTTTGGATTTGCTCACACATGAAATTACAGTTGGAACATTGTGTCAATTATAAATAAAAACAGAATAGAGTGGTTTATAAATCTCATAAATTCGTATTTTATTCACGTGTCCAAATTCAGAGGCTGCGTCCTTTGTCCTTTGTCCCGCAATGCATCTCGACATAGTGTGGGCTGAGAAGGATCCACTGGACACGTCCCTCAAATCGGGGGAAATAGAGGTCGCATTTGTGGGAGGAGCCTTCAAATCTGGACAGCCTTCAGCACATTTCTGTGACATAATCGAACTTCAAAGGATGCAGCCGCTGAATTTGGACACAGCCAATAACATAAAGACAAAATAAAAATAAAAAAACAGAACCATTCACATTTTTACTCCCACTTAAGGACAAGTTAAAGTTATTGATTATTCACGAACACGAATGGAGGAAACCTGCAGAAAGCCCACGTGTGCACAGGAAAACATGCAAACTCCACCCATAAAAGCCCCATTGTGCAAATTTTCTATTTACATAATGTTGCAWTTTTTTTAGGCTTTAGAATGGTATTTTTTAAAATAACTGCTGTGTTTTATGTTTCGACGTTGGCACTGAAATATCAACAAACCAACACGTTATTTTCTATCAGATGTTTAGATGGCAGAATGAATCAGCATGTTTTTCTGTGTTTACACTTCCTGCAGACAATGAGCGACTTCGACTACCTGAAGCTGCTGGGAAAGGGAACATTTGGTAAAGTGATTCTCGTTCGGGAAAAAGCCAGCGGGAAATATTACGCCATGAAAATCCTCAAGAAAGAAGTCATCATCGCCAAGGTTTGTCTGTCGTGGAGCGTGCAGCTACGGCAGAAAAAAAATGTTTCTCTTTTAAAACATTTTCAGGTTTGAGTGAAGTTTTGTTTGGGTCCAAGTTTCTTATTCATTTTTGCAGCTGCTCTTAATTTGATCAAAATCAAAGGTTTTTTTTTGGTTTTTTTCCAGGATGAAGTGGCTCACACACTCACAGAGAGCAGAGTGCTGAAAAACACCAGACATCCTTTTCTCACTGTAAGTACCTCATACACACAAATACAACTGGTTCGTACATACATGTGAAATACTCTGTATCACACAGGTTCTACGTATGTACCCGTTACCTGCTTTTTAGTCTATCACACTCTCTTTTATCACACACACACACACACACACACACACACACACACACACACACACACACACACCCATCTGAACAGATTTATTTGTATAATTTTCTTTTTTTTTTGCTCACCAATCAAAAACCTGCCCAAAATTTCACAAACTGCACTCAGTGTGTGCACTGAAACAACACCAAACACCTCCTAGTTTGCCTCACTCTCAAAACTTTGTGAGTTCGATGAGGACGGATAAATATTCCATCTGCCGTGTGCGAGTGTGTGCGTCTGACAGTCTCCCAGCAGTCTAAGCCAGTGTTATCCCTGCAGCCGTACCAGTCAGTAGTATATCTGGAGCTGGCGGCACGCTCCATTCCCTCAGCTCTTCCCTGCAGCTGCCAACTGGGTGRCCAGCTTAATTCTCACACAAACATATTCACACATAAAATTGCACTTTTAACTTCCCTGTTTGCTCGCGTTCGCGTCGAACTCGCACGAACCGATGAAGCCTGCATCATTAGCCAGATTAGTGTCAAGTCTGTGAGCTCGTTCGGGTAATGATCAGCTTGTTGTGGCACTGAGCTGCTGGAGAAACTTGCAGACAGATTTTGGGTGCTTTCTATTTCTTTTTTGTAACTTTTTAATTTCACTGAATGAAATATATTTATCTGAAAATGATACTGGAACTGGAGAGGAACTTGCAAATAGACTAATAAGTATTTCTGATCAGTTTAATTCTCATTTAGAGCAATAAGAGCTTAAAGATTTCCCTTTAAGTAGCAGGATAACAGGTTAAATAATGTCTTAAAGGCACCAGATTTCACCCATAATATTGAATGTTTGCATGTTTCCCTGTAAGACATGAAAAAACCCCAAGTTTTTAAATGTTTAAAGGTTTCTTAAATAAATACAATCCACATATATATTAGAGAATGAAAGATTAAAGCATCATTTTGGTTTTGTGGCTTTAGATTCTAGGACAGCGGAAGGTTAAATAAGAAAAAACCTTAAGAATTATAAACACTTAAAAGAAAATACTATATAATAAGGTAATACTTCCATAAAATGCCTCTCTATCGTATATTATAATAAAATAGGAACCTGTTTAGCATGTTTTAACAATTTTGATATTTATCGCTTTTAAAAAAGCCTAATCATTATTGACCTTTGTGTGAACTGAAGCTCTAAAGAGGTTCTGTGKTAAGATTATGAACAGYTAATATCTTACCTGTGGTAGAGAGCGCTTTGATGAACCTCAGCTAGTAATTCTGGTTGAACTGATGAGCTAACAGTTAGCCTGAACAGAGCCAAGACCAAAATGGATCACAAAATAGTTTGTCTCAAAACTCTCCCTTGTGTTTTATTAACTCGCTGCTGCCAGTTTCACATCACGGTGTTATTTAGGTGGAAATGTTGTGGTTTTCCTGTTGGAGGTGTCCCAGTTTGTCTTGGATGTGCTAAAAGCTAGGTTTTGCTGCTGCATAAGTTTTTATTGAAATAACCATGTCGTATAAAACAGATAAACTTATAAAACTAACTACGACAATAATCGTTCATAACCTTTTCGCAGAACTCCATTTAAAAATATGCGAACAATCCCTTTTCCACTAAAATGAGTTGAAAATCTGAGCATGTGTATTTATTTATTTTATTTTATTAATTTAATAGTTTTTTTTTTCATTTCAGTTAAAAACAAAACTAATATTAATACAACAAAAAACACAAATCTCATAAAATGAAAGGACACATACACACATACATGTACATACATAATAATTTCACTCCACCAAACAAACTTATGGAATCAGCAAGCATCGCTGGCCAAGTTATTCCACAATCTTATTCCTTGAACTGAGGKACATCTTTCCTTCAAATTTGTTTGAATTTTAGGTTTTACAAACACTTCAAATCCTTTCAGATTATAACAACTTTCTCTCTTCTGCATGCGTTGAAGTTTTTCTGTTTGTTTGTTTTGTTTTGCAAACACAAAAACTCCTGCAGTGTGTTKAAACGAGTGTCTGTCCGGTCCGGTCTCAGCTGTATTTATGCATCGATGACACCTGTTCTTTCTGCGTACCGCTCACGACTGGCAGGAATTCAGCGCTCGGTATATATTGTTGAATCTCATCCTATTAGGACATACATTGTGTAATTGTCTCAGGTAATTGAGGTTTGTCGTGTTCTAAACGGGTTTTTTCTTTTTTTTCCTGAGAATGTTTGTGACTGGCCCATTTAACGAGTGAGATGTTATTATTATTGGCGTGATTTACAGCATATGTTGCTCTGGCTGCTCTCCAGCTCTGTCTGTCAGTCACACACACACACACACACACACACACACACACACACACACACACACACACACACACACACAGGCAACACAAACTCACATTACAAACACGTAGACTCGTCATGTTAATAAGCTTATTATGGTAATGAGGGAGTCAACAACACCTGAACTACATCTCTTCGTCAGTTTACCTGTCTTTTTCTTCCTCCTCTTCCTCTTTTCTCCAGCTAACGGGCACCGGTGAGGATCAAAGAGGAACAGAAACTTAAGGGAGATATGATGGAGGATGGCGTGGGGAGTGCACAGAGAGCAGGCAGGAACAAGATAAAGGAAAACTGTCCAGATACAAGACTTTGATATAGTGATATAGACTGGACTTACCTTTCCTTGACACACACACACACACACATACACACACACACACACACACGATTCAGTACCTGCGCTGCCCAGCTTGGAGGTTGGCCTGGCCCTGACTCAGGTTGCGAGCCGTTCCTGCCTTTTCCATCCAGGAATATTCTTGTCTGTCCCTGCCAGGAGGAGATGAGTGTGCCAGGGAGAACTGGCAGCATCCATGGGGGGGCATCTGGTGGGCTGCGCCAGCACACGACTCCCTTACTGTATCACAAACCCTGCAGGAGCCCAAGACTTGCCATAATATTTACCTCTGTGCGCTATTTACACTTCACTATTGTTAGTTTAGCAGTTTTCTTTCTCAGAAATGGCCGCCTTTTTACCGAGTACTCCAAGTAATTACTGTCCAGTGAAATAAATGCATGTTTAAGTCATCTGGTAAAARTAAATAATAAGAAACTGGATGATTTTTTTGTCCCTCAGGTCCTGGAGGACAACGATTACGGCCGGGCGGTGGACTGGTGGGGTTTGGGCGTTGTGACGTATGAGATGATGTGCGGCCGCCTGCCGTTCTACAACCAGGACCACGAGAAGCTGTTTGAGCTCATCCTCATGGAGGACATCAAGTTCCCGCGCACTCTGTCAGCCGACGCCAAGTCGCTGCTGTCCGGCCTGCTCATCAAAGACCCCAACAAAAGGTCGAGCACRTTTAAAAAAATAACACCCAATCTACCTTCCAGCATCTCATTGCCTTTCATTCCTTTTTTTACGTTGCCTTGATGAAGGGCAGGTCCCTAAAACAGGAGACTTTCAGTGAATTTGTTTTCTGTCGAAGCTGCTGGTGAATTCACACGTTCCCTGATCTCAGTTTCGTTTTACGTGTCGCCCTTCATCTCTCCACTSATCTAGGCTTGGGGGAGGACCAGACGACGCTAAAGAGATAATGAGACACAGTTTCTTCTCCGGCATCGACTGGCAGGATGTTTACGATAAAAAGGTACGTCATGGTGAAACTGTAGGTTTTTTTTGTTTGTTTGTTTTCATCAGGAGCTGCGTCTTTCACTTTGAAGCATAATAGGATGGAGAAAACAACTCATCTACATAAGTTTTTTTTTAAATTTCCTGTGGTAAAATTTGCACCAAAGTAGCATTTTTGTGTCGTAATTATGCATTGACTCGTCTTCATCCAGAAGGTGTCGTGYGACGCTTATAGAGACACGAATCAGAGCAGGTCGGCAGCTGTGTTGAACACAGGGTGTCGTATCCTAAGAATCTGTCATTCTGTGTGTGTGTTTGTTCACATCACACCATCGAGTGAGAGTCGTGTCCTGTGTGGCAACGCCTACAGCATTTTACATAGGTGCTGAGCTTCTTTGTTAAGCTTTCCTCTGCTCTTTTCCTTTCCTTCCACAAAGCATTGCATTATTATTCATTATCTAAACGGCTTCGACAGCTGGTTAGTTTGTAAGAAAACATCTGGAGTYGAGGATAATGAAGCCGCAAGCCTTGTTGTTTGTTCTCTGTGACTTTAATACAGTAAACTTGAATAACTTTGGGTCTGTCCCCCCGTCTTTGCCTCAGCTCGTCCCTCCCTTCAAGCCTCAGGTCACATCGGAGACGGACACCAGGTACTTTGACGAGGAGTTCACAGCTCAGACCATCACCATCACTCCACCAGAGAAATGTGAGTCCCTTTTTTCTCACAACTGCATAAATAATTTCACAAATTAAATCTCCAATTCAAACGTTCTCAGTAAGAATAGGTCAATTAAAGGGGGCGTATTATTCAAAATCCACATTTTTAGTTGTTAAATACATTTTTTTGTGTACTTGAAGTCTGTAGGAGTGCAGAAAATGTTAATTTAGTCTCTCCAGGTGCTGCGTAGGCAGAACGGACATGTTGACATCTTRATTAATTATTAAGTAAAATGTTTCTGCGCCCCTATATAGTTGTAAACCCCTCTATCAAACCAGAATGGACCACTCTGGAAGCTGAGGGGGTGGAGTGTGAAGCACCTCGTTTGGATTTAAAGAGACAGCCTCAAAATAAGTTGATCTGAGACACACCTCAGAAAAGAGGGGCTTGTGGAGTTACAATAAGGAGGAAATCAGACCAAAGCATTGCAGTTCCTCTTTATATAGACCCCAACTGAAGGATTTAATTTGATTTAATTTCTTTCAAGAGACTGATGAAAGTTTGATGGAGACACTTTATTTGTTTCTTTGTGAATTAGAAAGAATTACACGAGGCAAAAAAACAAACACTTAAAGTGTGTCTTTATTAGTCCTCCGGCCACAAGCAGGTCTTCGCAGACTTTAGAGATRAAGCTACAGCTTTCAAAGTGTTCAGCACTGAATTATGCATGAGAGAAAGTGAGGTGTTTGTTGGTGCTTAGGTGAAGTTCCTTTTGTTTTGTAGGTCACACATCAGTTTGCAGGAGACTGGCACATCAGATGCACGTCTGTTAATTGAACCGTGTTCGTTTAGTTTCAGCAGCTCAGGAACAAGAACAGAATATTTATTGTTTGACGCGAGCAGATTTAGGTTGCATCTTCTTACTGACAGGAAACATGTAGGTTTGTGTCACTTTGAATCGTTGTTCTTCACAGTTGATGAGGACGGGATGGACTGTCTGGACAACGAGAGACGACCGCACTTCCCGCAGTTCTCCTACTCCGCCAGCGGTCGAGAATGAACTGTCCACCGCGGGGACGCCGTCGCAGCTGGTCTCTGAGGTCATCAGCGTGGGACACGATGACCCACAGCTTTGGACTGACTCAGAGTGACCCAAACTTGAAGGCTTTTGCCCTTCTCCTCCACCTCTTCTCTTTTCACCTCTCCACTCCACTCCGCTTATTTATTTATTTCGTTGTTTTTTTTATTATTATTTTGTTATTTTTTTTGTGAATCCCTTCAGAGACTAAAACCTTTAGGCAAAAATTTCTGTCTAATTCTGCTCTGCAGCCCCGGGCGCTTCAAACTGTGATACGATCAGCTGCTGTTTAATGACCCTTTAACAGGACGAGGTTCACCAGCGGCCTGCTGTGCTTTGACGTGCGTTGAYCCCGTCAAACTAAACAGAACCGACRTGTTTGAAGACATTTAGATGTTAGCCGGTCCGTTTATTTACATGTAGGTGTTTTTATAGTTTCTTATCCGTATGATGAAGACGCCGCATTTTAAGTCGTTCCAACCCAAACTGCCATTGCAGGTTGTATCTCAGGCTTTTTGCAAACACAGACTCAGAGAGACATTTCGCGTCTGGCTTTCAGAGCATCGGTTTCTGCGATTCTGGGATCGATTTAAGCAGCTGTCATCGGCGAGCCAGAATCCTACGCTCCTCCTCGTCATCACGCAGGATTTGACTCAGGTGTTGCTCAGTCCAAGTTGTTGTTGCTGCTATTCCAACCACCACAACTACTACAGGTATGACTCYTCTTACTACTGCTCTTCTACTGCTACGACTAAAATCCGGTGCTACACTTCGAAACAAATGCTGTGGATCGTCACAGAAGCGCCAGCCAAACACCAACCATCTGTATTACCATCTATGCTACTGAACAGCTGCTAACTTCCTGTACAGCTCTTATTTACGTGTCGACTCTGACGTTTAGAGTAAAAAAATATAATAATGTATCGTGTGTGTTTGTGTGTGAAAGGTCGAATCAAGGGTTTGTGTTCGACGACGCGCCTCAAAGCACAGCAGCTCAGACTGATGACGCTCCTGAAGGAATGAGCTTTATTCCATTACCCACAATGCACGAGGCATCGATGATTTGTCTTATCACAAAGGTAAAAATCAGAAAAAAAGGAAGGAAAAAAAACGCCTGGTTGGAATGTTCCCTTCAAGTTTTTCCCCTTCTCTTTTTTTTTTTGTTGTTGTTGTTTTTACATATTTAAAATTTCTTCTGTCCCGAAATTGGGAGAAAMAAAAGAAAAAGTGAAACGGTACTTTGTTTAAACGACAAAAAGCTTTACTGTGACGTGTTGTTGGGACCTCTCTGAGTCCGAGCAGGAAAAAAACAAAACGAAACTGCAGCAGAAAGGGATTCAACTGTGAGTTGAAAGAGCAGAATATCAGGGAGGGAAGAGGAGAGAGCAGGAGAAAATCTCATAGAAAGAGGCAATATTAAATATTTATAATGTGATAATTTATATGTAGTAACTGATCTGTTTTCTGCAAGTTTCTTAAGAAAGATAAAAAAAAGAAAAACAATCTATGAGGAGGTGATAGTTATGGATTTACAAGAATCACAGCTATGGCTATAAAATATGTTTATTTATTGCTCTACACCATGGTTTTATATTTAACCTTTTCTATTGTTATTACATTATTTAAGAAAAAAGTATATTGTTATTTCTTAGCATTAGGGGGAGAAAAAAAAACACCTCGAGAAACAAAAATGGCTGAAGAATGTAGGAGGGAAAGCAGATAGCCTTCCTGCTCCATTGTTTTATTTTATGTTTTTTGTGTTGTTTTGTGACCAAAATGTGACAGCCGGGAGTGGAGGGGAACACGTTAAAGACGAGTATAAAGCATCCCGCGGGCTTGTGTTCGTGAGGGATGGAGAAGAGTTCAGAGGAAAAAGGCAAAGTGGAAAGTTGAGCAGAGAGGAAGTGAGTGAAGCACAAAAAGTCGGAGTATAAAGACCTGGTTAGACTTGACAAGACGTAAGACTTCGGATCTCGCTGATGTGGTTTTGAGACGGTCTTTTTTCAGACGGTTCATACGTTAAGAGAAACTGCAGGTGAGACGTGTGTTTTTATTTACAGTTGGAGAAATGACGACGTGAGTTCTCCGTGTTGACGTTCCCTCTGACGGTTCAGAAGTCACGGATGGAGACGCTCCTGACGCGCTGAGAACATTAATCGGTGCTGTATTAAAAGAGACGTGGAAAAAAAAAACAGCTGCTCTGACGTGTGGCTGTCACTCAAACAGAAGGACTCTTGCCCCTTATCATATTGCAGAGATCAAAATATGGTGAAGTGCATCTTTTTAAGATTTAGTTTTAAAATAATCCAACTCATAGTTGTAACCGAGCTGCTACTTTAGCCAATCTCTGTGCCGATAAAGTTTGTGTTTATTTCCACCTCGAGGAGCACGCAAGGCTAAGAAAAAAACACACGGAAATTTAAAATTTGGTGTTTTGATTTAAGAAACCTGCAGATGGGTGGTCCCTGAAGGTGTCAGTCAGCGCTACGCCGGCCCACCTCTTCAGAAGTCGACAGTTACGCCTCTGTTACTACCTCGCTTCGAGGAACAGAGCTGCTGCAGAGGAGAGGTGTTTCAGGCCCCCACCCTGCCTCTGTGTGTCTTCTGAATGCGCAGAGGTGGKGGGTGGGGGGGCAATCTCTGGAAGTGCGTAGAGAGACCTCCATAGACAGACAAAGTGGGAACGTGTCGGACAGCCGCCTGTGTCTCCACGCTGTCTCCTTCCACAAGTTCTGCTGTCTGTACAGTTCAGCTGGAACYGTTGTAAAGATGGCTGTATTTTCTAACAGCCTTGGCAAGCTGCTYCTCAGCAGAGCAGAAATAAAGATAAGTCACTAAAATAAGTCACTAGTTCTGACGGGGGAGGGCTCTGCGCGAGGAGGACAATAAGCTATTTTTGTCACCCAACCATGTCAGCGAGACACGTCTTACATTTCATGAACTACAAACCAGGTTTAGGAGAGAGGATTCAGAGCCAAACTGTAAGTGTGTTGAAGAAAGGAGGTGGAGGAGTCATGGGTCGGCTCGGTTCAATGGGTTTTTTTTTTTTTTATGAACGGGGATGTTTCATCTTTACCGCGTGTCGTCATTTCTCCGGTCTAAACTTTGTGTTTGCAGTTGTTTCTTTTGTCTTCCAGTCAGACCAAGAAATATGTGTTTAAAAAAAATCCCCTCAATTTCTCTGTCTTCAGATGCCGGGTAAGCCTTATGTGGTTTAACTCAGAATCAGTCAAACACATTTACATCGAACAACCACCACACACAAGATAAAACCTTAAAAAAGTCAAATCTCTACTGCATCTAAAAAGAAATTGTTTTCTGTGTGGAAAAGGCCACTTTCTGTCAGACAGATAAAGCAGAGCACCGGGGGATGTGTTCTTATTAGGTACAGAAACTTGTACACCCGTTTATTTATTTGAATGTTTTTACTTTCATCATTGACGAGTAACTTGAATTTATTTTCTGTTTWATTTATTTGTCGTGTTTCTTTGTTGTTTTAGCAGTACAAGGGCGTAGATGTGTCAACTTGTTCCAAACATTCTTCGCATTAGTGATACCTTTTAACCCTTACCTGTTTTTTCTGCTGCTCTCAAGTCCACACGCTTTCCTGTTGCACTACCATTAAACCGCATATAGCTAGCAACGGCGCTTTATGGCAGAAAATTAAATTAAAAAGGAAAAAAAAAAAGGGATGGCGCTTGCCTGCATGCTGTAGTYCTCCTCGGCCCGCACCACCAGGCCCGAGTCAAAGTGGCACTCAGAACTCTGATGAAGAATACTTCTCTGTGATCGAACGAGTCTRTCTGGCTCCGCTGAGGCAGCCGAGGGGAGAAAAAAAAAGTTCAAAACGAGGCCAAATCCCACCCAGCTGGCACCCCTGACAGGCTCAAGAAAGCGCTCCCAAGTATTTGGAAGGATTTCAGCTTTGATTTGACCCAGGTCTGCGGGCGGCTGAGGAGTTCTAGCTGTATGTGCACGAGGAACGCCAAAAACCATTAGAAACCAGAGCTCATAAAATACCGCTTTGTAGCTTTGAACACAGCACTTTCACACATCCATCACTTTTGATATGATTCAGAGGAATCCAATTCAGCCCTGCCTTTAAGCGAGATTTTTAGCTTTTTTTATGTTTTTAAAGAAAATGACGATTTTTAACTAACGAATCCCCTCCACATAGCTTTGATGCTGCTCTGATGTGTAGATTTGACGAGACGTGGACCGGGTGTCCTCATGTGCGAGTCAGAGCTGTCTACTGTGAAACGGGGAGAAGGTTTGTGAACTAAAACGATACTGTAACTGATCAATCATTGCACTAATCTCCTCTGGATTAAAAAAGAAGATGTTTTCCCTCCTGTGAGCCTCCAGCTCTTGTTCAGTTTTAGGTTATAGGCTGATTCTGGGTCGGGAAGGTTTAAAAAAGGAATGATACATTTTCTGTGGGAGTTTTTTTTTTATCTTCTTCTCTTCGGTTCAGCAACAGTGATTTACTGTCAGTGGTCTCAGTTGTTTGTAAACTGGATGCAGAAAGTCAAGTTTCTGTTTTCCTCGTCGTACCGGACCGTGTGTGGCGCTGCGCCGACACCGTTCGCTCTCTGAGCTGTTTGAACTCTACGTCCACAACAGACCCGAGTCCAGCTGTGTTTCTGTCAAGACACTGTCGGCTGCTCGGCGTTGAGCTCGTTCACGAACCGGTGACATCAGTCAGAAACCAGAAACCGCTCCGCTGCTGCCATTAAAAAAAAACACACACACACAAATTAAACAAAGGTTTCTGGTCAACGTCAGCAGAGCCCCTCCCCCCACCCCCACCCTCTACAGTACTACTCTTCATCTTGATTATTCCAGTAACAAACAAGCATGAAATGCATTTATTTATCAACCCAAAACAGCGAACATGTATAAATATTTCAACGCTCCATTTTACTGTAGCTTTACAGTAGTGAGGGACACCTCTGGACAGATTCCAGCTGTTTCCAGAGGTTCCTCTGAAGCGCTGCAGCTCTGCTCTCCGATGTCGTCAGCAGACGAGAGACGATGTTGACGCGGAGACGGCGTTTAGGAAACCCAACAGATCCAAACAGATCCACAGAAATGCAGATCAAACGGCCTTTTTTTCTGTCCTTCATGCTGTCAGGATGCAGTGCTGCTGGCCTGTGAGGCCGCGAGGATGTGAAAATAACAGATTACCATCAACATGGAGCTGTTTTTTTACACTGTACATCCTTAGTATTTTTACACATAAAATGTATAAGATAAGGATGCACATAATTTTCCGTCTAACGGACAGCTTCAATAAAGCACTCTGTCAATCTGCTGYGTGTCGACTCTTCTGTTCACTGTTTGGAAAAAGTAAGTTTTAAAGTGCCTGTGACATGCCTATCCTTCAAATACAAAAAGTCAAAGAAAGCATCTTTGTACTTCATAAAATTGGCATTAGTACAGATTATTTTATCCATTTTGTCACATAACCRGCCTATTTTCTTTTAAATTTGGCTCAGCAAAAGTGAAACAGGAAGTGACATCAAAGGGGAACTCATTAACAAAATAAACTCGCTGGTGTCTGTTTATTAAAACAAAAATTATTTGAACTTTAACTTTTCTTCATCTCTCTTTGATAGTGACTAAAAATAATCTAAAGAAACATCAGATTCTTCTCTACAGTCCGCGCAGTTAGCTTTTGCAACAATGCTCTGTTTACAAGCTGATATTCCCCTTTGACATCACTTCCTGTTTCTTCACCTGCAAATACCTCAACAACCGTTCATCTCAGTGATGTGAAATTTGTTTTGCAACATGTAATCTTTCCAAAAATGCATTCATGTTTATTACAAAAATTTAATGTCACAGGCACTTTAAGGTGAACTGGTCTTTAAAGAGTAACTTACCCCAAAATTAACTTTTTTTAGCTGATAAACTGTCTAGAATGTGTCTAAAAT